TAACGTCATAATGCTGGAAATATGGAACAAGGGGAATCAGAACAAACTATTTTACAAAGCTTTTTAATTTCACTGAATAATGCGAACAATGTAGTTTCATTAGCCAGGGGTCTGAAGAAGAACAGCTTTATTAGCTGAGCTCTGTCTCTTCTTGAAGTAGCCACATCTGGATTCATGCTGTCTTAAATGGCTGATAAACCAATACCTGTGCCAGGCTGAAGATGTTTGAGGGCAGGTTAGGTTAAGAAGTTTTTTGTATCTCCGACGGATCTTAAAAGTGAAATATTAACCTGCTGTGAGTGCAGCTGTGTTGGTAGGCTGCCTTCTGAAGGCATCATGGAGGAAAGGAGAATGTTTCTGAAGCATTGTCTCCAAACCACACTCACCAGTCACTCACAGCGTCTCACAGCTCAGATGTGTGTTTGCTCAACCTGTAATGTCACAAACGTGAAGAACAGAACTCTGCTTCTGCTCCAGCTGTGGATCAGGAGAAGAATTGCCTTGAACTTGAGAGCGAAAGTGCATTTGGACACTTCTCTTATTACCCTTTCTCACTGCAATACTGAGAAATGTGCCCTGTGGCTTAAGAACATGAGGTTTTGTGAGTCAGGCTATGGCAACCTGATCCCTCCTGTCGGAGCCTGGTTTGATTCTGTTGGATAATTCTGTAATGATATCTAGTCCCTTAAGAGTTGCTTTCAGTGTTGTGGGTAAATGTGGTTTACATTATGTAAGCACATTAATTATAATTGGAAGCTTATAGATATTGATGCTTCTGTTAACTGAAAAAAAAACCCAAAGCTCCCTCTCTGGGATAAGTGTCTATGTAAGGGATTAAGCTTGGAGGGGTTATTATACTTCTATATTTAATTCTTAATATTCTAAGCTTTTTTTTTTTTTTTTTCAGTGGCTTCCTGTTATTAATTTTTGTTTAGCCCCAGTATGACTGCTGCTGCCACTCAGACATCTCAATTTCTCCATTTGTTATTCACATGAAGTGCAGGTATTCCAGATTGTTCCATTCCTGAGATTTTCCAATGTGCAGCTCTAAATAGTGTTTCCTCGTACAGACTTGCTTAGGGCAGCCGCAGCAGGGGCCGGTGAGGAAGAAAGACTTTGTTTTCCTACTTACAGAGCAGGTCTGGAAGAGGTTTCATGCAGCTTGGTCAGATGTTTCCATTCTGCATGCTGGGTGCCTGGAGAACGTCCCTGCATTGCTGACCCCAGGAGGGGCAGGGAAGCGCAGGGCGCATTCCAGTTGCAGCGCTTGTGAGCGGTCTCTCTGGCATCGATCTACATGTGCAGATCCCTCAGTGTCGGTTTATTTATTTCACTGACATTAAAGAGTGAAAGCTAGCCCAAACAGCTGAGCCCAAAGTAACTGCTGGCTGCTTTCCCCGAGCGTGGAAATAACAGAGTTGCAAATGTTAGGTCAAACCATTCCGGTCTGTGAATTAAATCAGTGCCCCAAAGGTGTGTCTGTTGTGCATATCAAGCTGACTAAAGCTGTGACTTCAGAAAAAAAAAGCAGTTTTCAAACAGGAACAAGAGAATATACAGCAAAACAACAGAGAAGTCCACTTTAAAATCCTCAAATTAATGTAGAGAGGGTGGAAGGGAGAGAGGAGGCAGGCTGACACCATCCAGGGGGAGGTATGTGTAGATGTCTGCAAACACTTCTCTTCCCCTTCCCTTCATCGGTGGAGAAGCTGCTCTGGAGATGAAAAGAGCAAGAAGGGACCTGAAGGACCTCAGAGGACATGGGGGGCGTAATTAAAAAAGGACAGTTAGACCTGTGAACAAGCGGACTAATAAAAGCAAACCATATATATAAATGTCAGAATAAAAACCAGAGCCTCCTTGTGCCCAGCCCTGCATACTCCTGGAAATAAACTTGTTTCAGACCATGTGAACTGAGTTTTCATATCAAGCGTTAAATTCCAGTAGGACAACAAAATCACGGATGACAGCTGTAAAGCTGCCAGTGAAATTAAGAGCTTTTTTGGTGAACCAACAGAGAATCTCAGCCCAAAGGTTTAAGGTTTACGGAGCCGGCTGAATTGCGTTTCATGCTTGACATTCTGCAATACTCATTAACTGGTCGAATGCATCGCTGTGTTGTTTTTATCAAGTCAAAGCACTGCATAAAGATTTTCTATTTCATGCCCTGTTCATACCTTGCTGCAAGGATTGCATAATGTGGGCTATCCCCAAACGCCTCTTGGTTTTCCCTCTGGAAAGTTTTGTCGGAGCTGGCAGCAAAATAATAACAGGCAGATCTGTAATTTCACCATACCTCTTCTACAGCTCAGATGGTTTTAGTACAGTTATCTGGGATCACACAAATCCAAAACTGGCCTGAACAGTCTGAATGTGGAGTTCTTGGCTCTCTGCAAGTCTAAAAAACCCTGTAGCACTCGCCCAATGCGCCAACCACCTGTAAAAGGAATCCCGGCTCAATTCAGTGCATCAGGATCTATCCACCCAGTCTTGTCATTCTAACTTCACACATGTTGAGCAAGTTTTTACTTAATGGAAAAATTACAATTTTTTTTTTCTCTATTCCAGGCTTGTTCCTGAGCAGGGAATGATTTGTGCACCGGTAGAACAGTTCTATATATAAAAAACCTGCACGAAACTGGGTGCATCCTACCGAAAACTTGTAATTTAGTTTTAGCCTCCTAGGAGAGCAATGTGAAAATTCTGGTAACCAGACGAGTATGGAGTGTACTCTTAAGATAGCAGATGAGATTCGATACCTTGTAAAGATGGCAAAGAGCAATATGGAAAGTATGCCTACAGGTTATGCTTGTGGGTGTTAATCTTAACTGTTCGACAATATGGTCGTGCTTAGCAATTTTAAAATACACTTTAAAGTGTGGGACTAAAACTCTAGTAGGTGCTTTAGTTTTGTATTTAAGAGTCAATTACATTAACTAATTTGGAACTATTTTCCTATTGATTTTTACATTGTGCCTAATGTACTAGCTATACTGTTGTTAATGTATAGAATTCTGTTCTTTTTGGACTTAAGGCATATTAATACAGCCTTAAATTTTATTTTACAGCCCTAATAAAATAATTTTATTATTTTAAACATAAATTTCTATTTATAAATAAATATAAAATAAAAACAAATTTTCTTTTACAGCCCATTACCTAAAGATTACCAATCCTACTGAATGCATAGTTACAAATAATTATTGATCAATATGATATTCTGCTTTCTCTGCATAAAACTGAATTTAGTAGGTTTTTAATTTTGATTTCTATGCTTAATTTTATTTCATTTATACCGTTCTGAATTTTTCTAAGTGTTCTTAATAAAGGGAGCTGCCTGTGTGTATGATTGCCTTTCTATGAGAATTGAGAAAAAAAATAGAGAAAACCACTGGAACATCTGGAGAGGATGCTTAGACTCTGTGATCAATGGGAATTCTGGGGAAAACAAAAAAATAAAATAACAAGTATTCAGCATTTTCTCTTGCAAGAAATAAATTCTCCATTAGACAGATGTTCATGCAGCTTTTAAACCTCTCAGTTATAGACAGACCCTGAAGGTTTTCCTGCCCTGTTGAAATGGTAACTGTGAATCTCTAGGCTGTGCTTCCCAGACAAATGTTTAGCCACACGAGCTCTGAAACTTTCCTGTGTTTACAGCAGGTCCACAACAGGATGACTTCTGCAATATAGCACCCACCTCCGGAAAGGAACGACAGGCTCTCCTTTCCACATTTAAGTTGATGAGAATTTACTGGAAGCAAGATCCAGCCTACAGTGACTAAAGACCAAACCCTCAAATTCTGCTTAGATGAGTATTATTGTGAAGTAACTCCACGCAATACAGCAGTGTTTACAACAGTGTAACGAAGAGCAGAATTTCTGTTTTCTTTCTGTGAATTAATATAAACGTTGTGTAACTTCAGTACAGGGACCCGTATTGTATTTGTCCCAGCTGGCACAGCACTGCTGAGCACATAACACAGAAATTTTATAATCACTGTTACCTAGTGCTTGTGGCAATTCTGAACACATTCGGAACATCAAAAGCAACAGGAACCTGTGTCTGACCTTTTTGCTCCTATCATCCTGATGCTGCTGTCTTCAAGACTTTTCCCCTTTGTTAGGTCAGAGCAACCCAACAGTTTTCTGTCTTGGGAGAGATATATGTTATCACAAGAAAGCAAAATTGCAGACAAATTAGCTGCAATATTTTGCTAATTATCCTCCTAAAAATGTAAGAGTGTGAGCAAAAACTGTGTGAAGCTTTTATTCCACCTTCTGGATGTGATGTGCTTAGTGATCCAGATCAGTTCCACTGAAGTCAATGGAATTTTAGTACCATAAAGTAAAAATAAGGTGCTTTTTTTTTTTTCCTTCTCTCAATCCATAGCACAGTATTTTTTTGCCATGGAAAGAAAGAAGGAAAATTAGGTTCTCTTTTCACATTAAACAGAAAGAATAGAGGCCCAAATGAGACTAAATTGCACACAACAAAATGAGAATGAATCAGCATAAACGCTCCAGCTCTATTCCTAACACATTGCCTGAGATCTGCATTCACTACAGGAACATTTTGCTGACTGGTTCACAATTTCATGCTTTTCTTGGTTTCAGGATATTTCTGCTGTGTTTGATTAGATTTCGTTACCCTTCCCTAGTCTAACTACACTTGTTATTAAATACGGCACTAGTATCATTTGAGATACGGAACCTGACCGACGCAAGGGACCTGTTGAAGTTGAGCTGGTTAAGTATTTCAAAATTTCAACCTTGCAGATTTACACCGCACATTTTCCTGGATGAAAGTTGGGTAGCATCGTTTGATTAAAGGAGGAAGGCTGTTCCATTTTAGTGGTATCATTAATGACTTTTGGAACTGCTGTTTTTTTTCAATAACGCAGTCACATTAGGGCTTGCTTTTTGTAATACTCCACGTAGTTAATGAAACTAAACTCGGTAACTTTTATTCTTCTCAAAAAAATGATAACACACAGATGTACAAACCCACATTAATGTGTTGTTTTATTGGTGCATTACAACATTACATTTCCTTCACACCGAGAAAGCATGAGATTAAAATACATTGATCCACAAAAATGCCTTCCCTACACTGACTTTGCACTGGTAATTACAGCGCCTACAGATCCCTCCACAAGTTTCATTTCATTAAGTCTTTCATAATTTTAATTACATTTTAATCAAAGCGTTTACATTGTCTATTTTATGACTTTCGGTTTAGTTATTCCCATTAAAATATATTATTCTTTACTGCTTTGCAAAGTTCACCAATCGCTCTTGCAATGTAAGTATTTCTGCTGCATTACACTTCGTATTCCAATCTTTTAACAGCCACTGCTCATTTGAGGACTGTATAAGCTTTCCCCATCCCAAAGAAGATAGCTTGTTTGTATCAAAAGCCATTAAAATACTGGGAATGTGTACAGCACAGTTAGGAGGCCCCACTCATTTTTGAGAATAAGCCAGGTCTATATAAAAACATGCAAAATGCTCTATGCATCAGTATTAAACTCCTAATTTTGATTTATGATATTTTTTTTTTTAACATTTGCATATAACCTGGAAGACTAGGGTTCCTGCTGAAAGAAAAAGCTAATGGCTAAGCCCTACACAATGTAAAGACATGGTACTCTTACTCTAGGGCTTTCATTAATTCTCCCGTATGAAGTAATAGAAAATGATATCCCTGTTACGGAATTCTGTAGGATGGTTTAAAAACTTTATAGAAAGATTAAACCTCCACTTAACTGTGTGGATTTCTAGCATAAGACCTCAATTTCACTAGAGGAGTGTTCTGTCAAATTCAGTGCAAATGCAATGCCAGAAAAATTGTGCTTTGCTGATGCTATTTTTGTGAACTAGCATATATACACCAGCAAAACCACAGTTATATTTGGGTAACTGTCTCTATCCTAGGGCTCAGGATACTGTAACTGTCAGTAAAAAAATCCTACCTCAAACTGATGCAGTCAAACTGGTATCAGTTTTACAAGGAGATCAGGCCCTATTTCTGCAGAACTGTCCTGGGTTCATGCCTATTACATTCTGTTCCTTAATGTCATTTCCTATTTATAGTTATTTCCAAATATCATATAAATTTATACATAGCATCCTCTTGTACACAACTATTACATTTCTTTTTAAAGGGATTCTAATTTACTTGCTTTCTATAAAAATTCAAGTGTTGCCAATCAGGAAGTAGCTCTTCTCAAAAAAAAAAAAATCTATAAAGCTTACCGTTGAGAAAAGTAAATGACAAGCCATAAAGACACTGAGCTGATTGAATCACAAAATGCCCACAAGGCCAATACATATTCCAACAGGAACACATAAATTATAATTATGGCAGCAGTCTCCTCCAGTCTAAAGCACCGTAATAATGGTCGTTGGTCAACGCTGTCTTGATCGCTTTATCCATCTGCTCCAGCTAAAGAAATGTTCAACTGCCCAGATGTGGCCTGGAACATTTGCCTGCATTTTCACAGGATATCTAAGAAAAAAAAAGATTCTGGAATCTGACATTCTGCCATCCAAAGGTACATCATTTCACAGGAATGTGATGTATACTGCATAGTGCATATTAACAAACCAGGATCCTACCAGTAATAAATTATCTAAAGTAATACACTTAGTAATCTTCTCCATACCAACAGTGTTTTGATTCAGATGAGTTTCAATTCAGGTACCAAGCCAACCTGTGCAAACACAACGCTCAAGAACATGATGAGCTGAAAATGTCAAATGGGTCTAGTGGAAAACTGCCTCCAGCATTCCTCCGGATATGTTACAGGGCTGGAGACCACCACAAGCATTCATGGTTGTGCGCCCAAAGTCACAAATGAAAAATCTTTGCATTTCTTTAGATCACAAATGCTGCAGTGAGTCACTACACAAGAATGAACATGGCACACCAAGATTCACAGAAAAGATTGTGTTTCTTTATCCTCAGAGTTTTAGGACTTCTTTAAAAAAATTGTTTTAAAGAGTTCAGCTTGTTGAGTGTCACAGGTGTTCTTTTCTTTCACTTTGTTTTGACAGTAATTACTGCAAGAGCTCTCGAAAAACTGCTGCTGATGTAATACCAAGTTTCTAATCCATCCTATGAAAATATACGTTATTGTAAGCTGATAATTTTAACAGTGTGGAATTTATTGAATGTCAGAATAGTTCTGTGGAACTACTAATGCATGAGGCTTGGGTCTTACAAACACTTAAGCCATTCATACCTTTCATGTGCTTGATCATTAGTAGCTCAGACTGACCTTGTCAAAACTTGACAATTAATACAATGTTCTACCAGCATGTAGAGATTTTTTTAATGTTAGAAGGCAACAGGATAAACATAAGGATGATGTCCTAACATCAAATTACATAAAGAAATGGCTGGTCACAACAGATGCTGAACATCTGATGAAAAGTGCTGTGTGTACTCACCACCCATCAAAGTCAATGAGTGCTGAAGACGACCAGAACTTTCTAGGAGATACTCAGTACTTCAGAAAATCTGTTTCCAGATCTACTATATCCTCAACCACATCTTCTTAAAATTGCTTTTAACCATTCTCCACATGGGATTGTTCTTATTAATGTTCTTTCCCCTCCCACAAGTAGTCTATCTGTTTGCAGTAGTAGACTGAAAACAGATAATTCAGCAAGTCAATATGAACTGAAAATTTAGCTTTAAAAGTATGATGATGATATGGCATTAAAAATAAAATATTTCTCTTTATAAAAAGGAAAGAAACGAAAGAAAAAACACAAACAGTAAGAAACACCGTGTTAAGAGACCAGTTTGGAGGAAATGTGAGAAGGCTAAAAGTTCGTTCTGCACATTTCTCAAAGTCATACGGGACCTTCAGTTATTCCTTCTAGAGGCAGGCCAGTAGCATTATCTGCTGTAGGTCTCTCTTCTTTCTTCACAGAGTTCTGATCTAGCAGGCTGACGTAAGATTTATGACAAGCTGTATTACCCAAAGGAGGGTAGTGTTGTCTGTAGCAAATATAAGCAAAAATGAGGCCAATGATCCCTCCAACGAAAGCATCTAGATAACAAAAGCAACAAAACCAGAAGCACGTTACCAGGGAAAGGTCAGCCAGTAGTGACAGCTGTAAATAAAAGACATTTGGTTAAAGTGGAAGTGTTTAACCCAGAAAGCATGAATTTCAAATTTTCAGGAAGATTTTGGAGCTGAATACAACAGTCACACAGGACACATAAAATCAGTATTTTGTCGGGGACATCACCAACATTTTGAATACCCAAAGCGTAGATGGTGGGTTACGTGTTTCAGGAGATGAACAGGGGGAACAGAATGGCCTCCACAGGGCATTAAACATTTATGACATTCCAGCTCACCACTAATGAACATCTGTGGGTAAGTAACACATGTATCCTCTTCCAGTTTGCCATGATTTACAATGACCATTGCTGGGTTTTCTATTTATGAACAACGCGGCTGAACGATGCTGTTTACAGCGTGCAGAGCTCTTAGGCTGACAGGTACACCTCAAACTACGGCACTGTTTACAGTCTGCTCCTTGTCTCTGCCCAAGTACCTGCAGGAAAGAGGGCTGCTGAAGTGCCAGATCTACTCTTGACTGTTTTGTATTCTGGAAGGCATCTTCCAATGCAGACAGGGAGAAGGTAGGATATAAGATGGAAAATTATCTTCCTTCGGGAAGTGGGACACTGTAGCTAGAACAATTCGTTTCACTTGCAGCCCCTGAAAGGCCCCTGAGAAAGACAGCTGTCAAGAACAATTTCAGGCTGGGTAAATTCTTCTTAAAAGCACCTGAAAGGTCAAAGACTAAAGCATGCCTGTTAGCTGATTTAACACCTTTTGAACATATTTCTTTGATTCTCTTTACTATCTTGTACTCCTACCAGAAAATAAAATAAGATAAAATAAGGCCATTATATGAGATATCTGCAGCTCTAACACATGGGCAATTTTAAGTTTTCCATGGGAACCGGAGAGCACCTGAAGGGCAAGATGATTCATTCTGTTGTCAGGTTCTCCCTGACTCTTACTAATATTCACCTCTGATCTTGTGTTTCATTTTCAAGCAGAGCAAAATTTCACTGAAGATACACACTGACTGGAAGCCTCAGATTTGAACACAAACAATAATGGAAGTGAGGCAACGGGCACTGGATAGAATATGGCCTGATACCATGTTTTATTTTAACAAGACTTACTAAGCACCCTACCATCTGCGCATGCTTATGCTTCTGTATTTCACTTTGGTTACAAAGAAACCACGACACAATAAAAATGGTGAATCATTGAGTTTAATGACAAAGAAGGGTAAATCAATACAAATGATTTTTCTTTAAAATACTTAAATACAGATTAAATGCCCTAGTTTGTCAGTCTAGTATATATTAAATCAAAGGGCATGTGGTTCACTTTTCAGTGGGTAATAAATGGCTTCTAACCACTGGAGGAGCGAGATTCTGAAAGGCCTATTAACAGGAATAGTTAGGGCAAGAATACCTGAAAAACTTAATACTGAGATGGATACATTTAAGAAATGTGATTATAAGTCACAGTTGTCTGCAGAGGAAGAGGACTAGACTGAATGACCTAGGAGATCCCTTCTAATCCTATCTTCTCTTCTGACATGCAAAAGGACATAACAAATCTATCCCAGACAAAGACAACAGAGACTCAAATAAGATTTTAACATGTGATTGTGGACACACAGTACTTGCAAACAGACCGAAGCTTATCCTACCCATACTGGAAGCTGACTGATTTTTGTACTGTTCAGACTGTCTATCAAACTGTCATGGCACAAAAGGTACCAAGGGCAAGAATTTTCACTATAGTATACTATTACAGCATCAATCAACTTGTAAAAAGAGTGTTATTGTGACAAGATTCATTTTCCATAAACCTGTGTTGGTTGCAATTCTCCGATTACCCTCCTTTAGATGTGATTAACTGAATACTCTTCCAGCTACTTTTTTATTTTGCTTAACGATGAGGTCAAGCCTATGATTATTATTTTCATTTACGGAGAAACACCAGATTTCTGCCAATCCGTTGAAAGTTCCTTGGTATTTCAAGACTTGCTGAAAACTTGCCTAGATAATTTGTTTCAAAACACACACAAATACAATTCTGGGCCTGAGTTTGGGCACCACAATAATACAAATTCACTACATTAATTATGCCAAAGATTTCTAGCTTATTGATCTTGAAGGTAAATGAGCAAACACAAAGGCAGCTATTTTGACTCCTGGTTCTGAAGAAAACAATTCTGTGCTTTGTTTGAGCTCATGGTAGCCATGCTTCCTTTTTTTTTTTTTTTTCCTCCTTTGCCCATAAAGAAAAAAGAATATTCTTTCAGTCTTAGTATTTATCTCTCCTGTTTTTCATATAAAATCTCCAGTTATTTCATTAATAAATTAACATTTTCAGAATTATAAGCCTGCAAAGAGATCTAGGGACTTAAAAGTAATCCATACATTCAAGATTCATAAGGAAATATCCTAATATTCACCAATATCAACACCAGTATCTTGAATACTACATTCTCCAGCCAAACTGAAAGGATCTCATAAAGTACTCATAATATTCACGTTCTGAGCCCACTCAATGGCTTTTTAATGTAAGGATACTCCACTCCATCTTTCACCTACAGTATGCTAAGTTTTGGACATTATATTGATGGTCCTTGTTCATTGCCCACAGCATAGTTAAGACTATCACAAAGCCACCATAAATAATTTCGCACAATTAGTTGACTCTGCTGAGAATAAAAGATGACATCTGAGCTTCTGTGATGTATATTACAGAGTGAACTAGTCTCTCCCTTGAGAATGCAGTTCTTCCAGGTAAAAGTATATGTCACCTGCAGGATAATGTCTGCTAGCACTGTTCTTAGCTTGGGAAGAGCTGAGTTTTCAGTTCTGTCCCCATAAACTTCAGACAAAAATATGAACAGCTGTAATGAATACAGTCACAACCCCTTGGGTGTCGTTTTCTTCTATCATATATAAAATGCACCATAATAATCTGCCACACAGCACATGTTTCAGTACATAAATAATTCATACTCTTGGCAAGAGACTGTACACACTGTAAACATGTGTTTGAAACTTGACAGTGAACCTGCACACTCATCCATTCACACTCCTCTCACTCTCTCTCCCTCTTTAACCAAGAGTTCAAACCAGCCAAGAGTCACACGTCGAGCATGAGATTCCTAACTGCCGTCTGTCCACCTGGCGAGGCACGCACCTCGCGTTCAGCAGCTTTGTGCTGGAGGCTCTCTCCGACTCCACATGTCGGTGAGCAGAGAGTAATGAGCCCTGTAACAAGACAAGGTGTCTGCAGGAAACCAGGCGACTCCTTAAAGAACATGTCAAGACTAATGGTTGGTGATTAAGCAGCCATGGGAGAACAGGAGGCTGCACGAACACAAAAAAACGAGCAAGAAAAAGCATGGATGAGCCTTGCTCTGGTACGCTGACTGCTGTATGAGATAAGAAAGTGCTCAGCGGGACAGAGATATACTTACTTAATTGGAACTGTGTAGAAGAACCAACAGAATGATATGTCTTTGTATTGGGTTTGCGTGGCAAGGTTCTGGTAGCAGGGGGGCTACAAGGGTGGCTTCTGTGAGAAGCTTCTCCCAAGTCCAATAAATACAACGCCAGCCAGCTCCAAGACAGACCCACCGCTGGCCAAGGCCGAGCCCATCCACGACAGCGGTAGCGCCTCTGGGATAACGTATTTAAGAAGGGGGAAAAAACCAACTGCACAGCAGCAGACGAAGAGAGGAGTGACAATGTGAGAGCAAGAGCTCTGCAGCCACCCAGGTCAGTGAGGAAGGAGGGAGAGGAGCAGAGATTCCCCGGCAGCCCGTGGTGCAGCCCATAGTGGGGCAGCTGTGCCCTGCACCCATGGGGGCCCACGGGGGAGCAGAACCCACCTGCACCCATGGGGGACCCCACGCCGGAGCAGGGGGATGCCCAAAGGAGGCTGCGACCCCGTGGGGAGCCCCCGCTGGAGCAGGCTCCTGGCAGGAGCTGTGGGCCCGTGGAGAGAGGAGCCCGGGCTGGGGCAGGTTTGCTGGCGGGACTGGTGACCCCGGGGGGACCCACGCTGGGGCAGTCTGTGAAGAGCTGCAGCCCGTGGGGAGGACTCGTGTTGGAGATGTTCATGGAGGACTGTCTGCTGTGGGAGGGACCCCACGCTGGAGCAGGGGAGGAGTGTGAGGAGTCCTCCCCTGAGGAGGAAGGAGCAGCAGAGACAACGGGTGGTGAACCGACCACAACCCCCATTGCCCATCCCCTGCGCTGCTGGGGGGGAGAGAGAAAGTGGGAGTGAAGCTAAGCCCAGGAAGAAGGGAGGGGTGGTGGGAAGGTATTTTAAGATGTGGTTTTGTTTCTCATTACACTACTCTGATTTAATTGGCAATAAAATAAATTAATTTTTTGGTTGAGTCTCTTTTGCCCATGACGGCAATTGGTGAGTGATTTCCCTATTCTTATCTTGACCCATGAGCCTTTCATTATATTTTTTTCTCCCCTGTCCAGCTGAAGAGAGGGAGTGATAGCACAGATTTGGTGGGCACCCAGCATTCAGCCACGGCCAACCAACCACAGCCTCAGAAAACAAGCAAACAATATATATAACCAGTATGAACCAGATAATTGAAAGGAGCACTCAGGACCTTGAGGGAAGTATAATTTACAAGGCCAGCAGTACTGTACCAGGAACACCCCATAAAGCCAAGATGACCTACTTAACAGTATCTGATAGGAATATGGGGACAAACAGGGAAAAAGTAATTACAGGCTGGTATACTTAGTAGGAGACATGAAGGAAGGAAGGCAGGTACAAAGGTGGCAGTAAAGAGGGTCAAGAAATGATAAAGGAAATAATAAATATAGGATTTTCTGACAGTGAAAGTGTAGATGCTGACAGACAGTAGCAAATTGACCTGTGGACACTGGTGGGAAGCCATGTGGACAACCTACCAGACCTTCTCCAGGTCCACTTCTGAAAGACTCACTGTGGAAGGGTAAGGCACGATATAATTGAATAGAATGAATTAATAGACTTGTAATTTAATAATGTGTGTAATTAATTAGTACCATAGCCTTCTACATCAGTTACCTCACACCTGAACTTCAGAGGACTTGGACAAAGTTTTCCAGTGACATAAGCAGCTGGTCTGACTGGTGTTGCCCTCCAGAAGTGCCTACTGTGAGGGAAGAGAGCATGCTGAGGCACAGCTATGAAGCTATGAAGGTCAGTTCTAGTTAATTCAACCTCACTAAGAGACCCCCTGAAAGGTATCTTCTCTGGTTACACTGTACTATAACAATGCCTCAATTACATCAGAACATATAATATGAAGATTCAAAGTTTCCACTAGAAACAGTAAGTGAAAAAGAGATGCGAATTAAGCATACTTCAGACAGCTGATGCTCCATTTAAGGATTCCCCCTGTTGTTCATTATATGTAGCATTTTAAGGATGCAGGTTCACCCAAGAGCAGACATTTATACAACTCGCCCACATATCAAACGCTGCTGTTAGAGTCTTAAGAGCCATCTCCCATTCTGTCACTAACTGTCATTCCCTCACAAATGTAAGATTTAAGATTGTGTGGCATGTTTCTTTAGCCTGGTGGATGTATTTTACAATAAAGAAAGACACTGCATGCTGCTTCAGTGACCTGCTTATCCGCATTGAATACATTGTGCATTTATTTGTGCTTACAATTTAACAAATATTCATTGATACAACATGTACGGTACCATACTGAATCCGTCACACCAACATCTAGTCAGTATAACAGATTATCAACCTTGAAGGATTGGCAGCCCAAAACTATGGAAAAGTCATTTTTAATAGGGTGTAACAAGAAAATTAAGTAGGACTTGATTTTGGAAAGCGTGGAATTGACATATTGGGAGCAATTACAACCTTGGCCAAAAAAATTAAGAGAATAGAAAACATCAAACTTTGAAGGGAGGTTTTCAGGGTGAGCCAAATCTGTTACAACCTACGCTATGTAGCTTGCTATGCAATGTCTCTATACTTCTCAAGGAGAGGGGCCATGAATCCACCTCACACCCAATATACTTTGATTTGAATGGAAACCAGTGTATTACATCATGTGCATCAAATGACCAGAACGTAGACAAATGACTGAGTGCATCTTTGCAATGACTAGCTACACACAGATACTTCAGTCTGGCATAACACACATGGAGCCACATATTAACAGTCACTCACACACCCAACAGGTCCAGCTTACAGCTGGATCCATCCAAGACAGCCATGGCACTGATGTACATTTGTGAAAAATGATGATGTGAAAAACCCACTGATGCAGATTTATACATAAATATGATGAAATAGTGTATCTAAAAATATAGAAAAGGGCCCCTGCAGTATTTTCAGACAGTGAAACCCACAGCGTCAACCCAGGAACAGGGAAAATTTATAGCATACAATTGCAATTTAACTCATATTTAATGAAAAAAATAAAATCAAAGAAATACAAGGCTAATTTAAAAAAAAAAAAAAGTAGAAAAAAGGTATCCCCATGGCTCACCTTGCCAGTGATGTTTGTAATCACACATACGCGACAGGGCAATCATCATGGCACAGTAGAGCGGGAGAATTGCTGCACAAAGTCGCCAGCTCTTCCCCCGGCCGTTTTCCGTGAAGCAGTGTAACTTTCCCGCTAAGTAGAAGGTGGTAAAGCCAAGGCCTGAAAATGCAACTGATAAAAAAACCCCACATAATTACAGTATTTTGTCATTAACACTGTATGATACTACCCCTTAAGTTCTGAGAGCAGGATTCTTCTACGGCAGAGAAGTATTGGACTTTCTAGGGTGATATTAGGAGCTAAGTTGAGAAGACCCATTTGCAGAAAAACTGAGGGAGTTTCATAATTTGAATGGTGATTCTTATGTAACTATATAAATGATGCTGTTCTAACTTATTTTCTTAAAGGAATGTAGCAAATTGCCTAGGTAGAGAGTTTTTTGTGGGTTGGGGTTTTTTTTCTGTTTTGTTTTGTTTTTAATAAAGCAATCATGATCTTACAAACTTTTAAAAAACCCACAATTCTTTGGGTGTTAATGGAAAAAGGTAGTCTCCCACGAGATCCACGACACACATATGTTCTCCACAGCAGTGGTGTTATCTAGGTAGCAATGCAGGCAATCAGGCAAGTGACCACTGCAAAGCAAATGGACTTCCTTCTCAGACTCAGCCTTCACATAATCTCGCATGTCTGCAAATACCGTGGTAGCTCTAGACATTCATCTATCCAATTGCAATTGCTTTTTCTCTTCCTTTAGCAAGTTACCTTTTTCCTCAGGGAGGGGAGACTTCAGCTGTGGAAAGAATCCCTGATTTTATTTGCACATTAAATTAAACATTAGGTAAATTTTTAACTCAAGTCACAAAAGCACTTTCATGCTTATTCTTCAGATGTCTTTCCCGATTTCAGACCTATTCTAAAAAAGTTAAGGTACAGAGAAGAAAGGGATTCAGTTAGTTTGTGCTGCAATTGAATTACACTTAAATGAGATTTTTAGGTTCCATTAACCTGTTTCTATAGAACACGCACAACTGACAGTGACAACAGAACTCAGGCACCAAGTTTCTGTACTGAACTTCTTTCCCCTCATGGCTGTTCACCTTCCTGAGATATACTGGATGGATAATTTTTTTTTTTAAATATGCATTTTTATTTTTTTAAAAAAACATTTGAATTTTTTTTTTCTGTATGAAAATTAGTGCTGCATCTGAACAGGTAGCTCCACGAAACACATCATCTTTCTCCACAAATGTCACATTCAATTTTGTTCCTGACTGCAAAGATCAAAATAAAACATAAGCACATAAACCACAGATAGCAAAATTATATTTTTTTTTTTTTTCTGACTGCCTTTATACTTTTTATCTTTGTGATATCTAAGCACCTCTATAAGAGGTAACGGGTCACGTTCATAATACAGAATTCCGTTCTGATTCTGCCATCAGTGAATTTAATTGTAAAATCACCATCAGTGCTGGGTCAGATCCGCATCCTTTTTTCTAATCTCCTGCTAGGGCTTTTCAAATGCCCTTCTTCTCATGTTCCCAAACACTAGATACGATAATTACTTTGTATTCTGCTGACAAATCTACGGGATGGTCAATTTTAGTTGACAGTACAATGGAGTGGTTTCATAAGTTTATACTACACAGCTGTTTGAACGCAATTACTGAAGATTTGCATTTAATCTTTGAACACACAAATAAATCACTTCTTTAGACCGGCTGTGGCGGAGCACGACAGAATGCTGATTAGTCATCAAACCACTACACCAAATATATTGTTTCCTAGAAGCTTCTTCAACAAGTGCGGATTCTGTACTTGTCTGAAGACAGTGGGAGGCAAAGTTGAAAATATAACAAACAATTCTGAATAAATAAAATATTTCTCGCAGACCAGGTTACCTTCTTATGTACAGACCTTTGAAAATCATGTAAACTTGCTTTGCCTTTCAGACTATCTACCAGACAATTTCTTCTGACACTTCTACGTCATAGTATTCTTGAAATGAATGTATTTTCCTAAAAGGAGCATGTTTTACACAGAAACAGGCTGTGAGATGCATAGTCAGAGCACCAGGCTATAGCGACCATGGAAAAAATAAATCTATGATCCTGAGACAACATATCTCAGCAAACTGGAATACCCCTCCTCTATTTTCAAACAGCCTCTCCAACTCTCAGTAGCCAGTGTAGAGTGAAAACATTTATTCTTTCCAGTGTAGGCTTTCTCTTGTGCTTCTCCTGTTTGCTAGAGTAGCCACTGGAATATGACAAAAGACAACACTGTTCTCTTTCATGGTCTTCCTGTTGCTTATGGTATTGTCTTTTGTATCAAAGAATAACAGAATCATCTCAGTTGGAAAAGCCCTTGAAGCTCCTCCAGCCCAACCATGAACCTCACCCTGACTGTTCCCAACTCCCCCAGATCCCTCAGCGCTGGCTCAGCCCGACTCTTCAACCCCTCCAGGGATGGGGACTCCCCCCTGCCCTGGGCAGCCCATTCCAACGCCCAACAGCCCCTTCTGCACAGAAATCCTTCCTCAGAGCCAGTCTAAACCTTTCCTGGTGCAACTTGAAAGACCTGAAGTTCATTATAGGGTCTTTTTCTGATGGCTAAGAAACACACATTCACATCTGTGTGAGCAGACATAGGGTCCATTTTGCAGACCTTTGGAACTAGAAACATGTCTAAACTTACCTGAGACTTCAAGGACAGGACTCATCTGCATCATTTCATCTTCCAGCTGAGTACATGGAGTAAACAAAACTAAATCTGTCTTGAATATTTGTTCTCAAGTGAAATTATAGAATGCTTTCAAATCCTTCCTCTCACAAATTAGTTTTATTTTCATATTTCCATTTTCTATCTCAGTTTATTATTTTTTAGATCCTTAGAAGAAGGTGAACTGAAATCTGAAGACAGTATTCCCAGGCAGCAGCATCAAGTACTTTGTGGCTTCGTTTTCATGCAATCTACAGTGCCTAGCAATTTAGAGGGCTTACAGAAATATTGCTCCAACTACAGAGTAGGCGTTCAGTTCACACAGACTTGTATTCAGGATTACTAGCACTGGCCAGGCAATTTTACTAGCAATTGCCAGTGTGGTGAAGAGCAGCAGCAGATTTAGCTAAATGGGCTTTAGAGCAAACCTTGCGATTTTTTTTACAAAGTATTTCCCCAGAATTTCTTTTTTTTTCAGGATGTGGCACACTTCAAGAAGGAGGTGCTCAGGAATGAATATGGAAGTTCAGCAGGATCTAGACTTGCCCTATTATCAAAGGCAGATTTTTGCCTTAAATGGTTGATGTGTTCCTCTAAACTTAAGGTCAGGAAGAAAAGAGACTCACAAACACTCCTCCAGGGGAACTTAGGCCTAATGTAAGATAGAAAAGTAATATAATGATGCTCTAGCTTGTAGCTATGAAATTATTATTCTGCAGAGCACTTTTACATTGCAAAATTGTAAGAGTGACTTCCATTACCCTGGAGCATGCACATCCAGAAAAAGCTGCTTGACCCAATAGTCCCAGTGTGTGTAGAGTCAGCACAAAGAACATGGAATTAACACCAAAACGTTCTGTGATGTGGGAGTATCTATTATAAAGGTAACTATTTATTCCAAGACAACTCAATTGCTGTGTATTCCATGTAGGCAACTTTGCTTGATGGCTGTATTTTGAAGATGTTGTCAGTCAATAACATGAAGAAAATCAATTCATTCTTCATGAATTCTGGGCCTATAGGTGATACTTACACTGAAGAATTGGTCAATCAGTAGAACATATTTGAGCATTTTTTTTTCTGCACCAGCTAGAGTCAATACCTCACTGTATCACAAAGAAAATGCAAACACACACATCACACACCACATGCTCTAATGTATTACATACTGCCTAATGTTATAATAAAAATTATCATTCTGCATGAGAACACAGATTCCAAAGAACCAGCAAAGCAATGGTCTTCATCTACACCAATACTTCTGCTAAGTTGGTTTCATTCCAGATTATAAAAAATTAATACTCTATACAAAGAAGGCAAGAGCAACATAAAATACCAGTCAGCCCTCTTTGGAGACACTGACACAAATGAAAATAAGAAAATCAGCCTGGTTTGGTTTAAAATAATGTTAAATCAAGATAGGTGTTGATGCAAATTCCAGACACAAATATTTAACTGATTTTAAGTGTTGGAAGAGTAGAAAAGAATGAATCTCACACAGAGTATAAAGAAATGAGATTATTTTAAACAATTGGCGTAGCTGATTCAAATTGCAGTCCTGATGCTACAAGTTGCTGAACACAGGAAAAACCTCTCCCGAGACAAGCCACGTGTTCTATGGTGCTTGATAAAAGGCTGTAGATTTTGTGAACGCATTGAAAGACAGAAAACGGAGTATTTGCATTGCAACACCTCTGAAAGGTCTCAGCTGAGGCGAGGTTACCGTTAATCTAAGTGCTATGCAAACACAGAGAGAGGACACTGTCCTACAAAGCTTAGAAACTAAAGATACAAAGGCAAAGGAGGCAAGGTGAAGTTCAGAGAGCAGAAGGGATTTGCTCAGTCAAGGATGAAACCTGGCTCCTAGAGAAACAGGGTCTGTGCCCCAGCTCGAGGTTTCTGCTGCCTCACTGCCCTCCCTCTGCCTTCTGGAAGGTATTACTGAACTGTTCTCTTTAAATAAGGCAGCTGTGGTTTCTTAAGAAATTAGCAGAAGGAATTCTGGAATGAAAAGGGAAAATTTGAGTCTTACAGGAATAGGTGCTATGAGTTATCTTAAAGGGGATAAAAGACTTGAAATGAGAGGAAAACACGTTAAGTAATGTTTGATGTGTCCCCTTATTGTTTACTTTCATTTCCCCATCTGCTGATAACATCAGATAATTGGTTCAGGGCCGATGGGGCTATTCAAACACTAGCAAAAATCCTGGATTTGCACGGCTTTGTAACCTTTCTGACCAGATTCTGAAGGGAGTTGAGATTCACAGTGCATGTTACCCATGTTTTGAGTTTCTTTAATAGAATAACTGGAATTCATATGTATTACATTTTTGCTCTATTTATACGGTTTTATTTCAAACTATTGTCTACAAAAAAAATCTTTTAAAATGCATATACACTCTCTAAATAATATTAATGGTATCTAGACTGTCTCTCTGTCATGAATA